TCTTTGCTCTTAATGACAAATATCTGTCAGATTTCAAAGATTTCTACCTTTGGCAGCTAGCTGATAGTCTGTTGAGCTGCACAAAGCAAGGTAAAAAATTACTTTCTGCCAAGAAGAATGAACACATTTCTCTATCACTGCAGTTTGTAAAAGTACAAACTCACTCTTGGTGAGTTCTACAATAGTTCTCAAAGGTTTGCTCTCGGTCTTGATATTCCTTTATATTAAAAAAAATTTTGAAGACTCCCAAACTTTTTATGTGGATTGAATTAGTTAATACATACCATGTTATAAAACTTACACATTTAAAAATATTCATTTGGTATATTATTGTTTAAATGACAAAACCCACAAGATAGCAAAACAACATTTCATCAGAAAAATAAATGTTTTATTCAAATTCAAAAATATAGTGAGGAGAGTATATTTAACATTTGTACGTATCAATTTAATGACTTCAATAGGAAAGAGGGGAGTTTGGGTTCTCACATTTGCTCCTGTACTCAGTGTGGTGTATTTACCCCCAAGGAAAATTTCATTGTTCGTGTGTGAGAGAGTGAGACTGAAGAGAGAAAAGATGCATTAGTGTTACCATGGAAACAGGTTTACCTTTAGGGATTCCCATGGAAGGGTAGGGAGATACTAGACCTCCCTTTGACAGCTGCAGACCTCCAGCTAACCTCAGCTTCCTTCTCCTGGCTTCCTGTTTCTCTGAGCCAAGTGTCCTATCTCCTAAAAACAACCTAAGCTTCAGATGTGAATCAGGAGACTCACTGGATCGTTCTCTGTCCCTGATTTTTGGTTTTTGTTTGTTTGTTTGCTTGCTTGCTTGTTTTTTTTTTTGGGGGGGGAGGGGGTATACATTTAGCTTTAGGCAAATCACTTCATATCTCAGAATCTCAATTTACTATCCAGAAAAGAAGGCAGGTGGACAGAGTCATCTTTTACCTGTGGTGTTTAAATACTTGAAAGTTAACATAGTTACCAGGGACTGGGATTCAGATATTTTTTGTGACTTACATGAACTGGATACAGCCCATTTCCCCCATATATTCATGCTGCAATTTTTAAATGTATGCAGAAATCAGTTACTTTAATGTAACTCAGTAATATAATAAAAGCCCAAGAACTCAACTGTCTCACAGTGGCTTTTTAGTCATTGATTTCTAGCCAGTGAATTCATCTGCTGACCATGTAAGTGGTTGCAAAATTGTTTAAAGCTAAAAAGCTGGAAAGGAATCTCTTTTGAGAATTTTCACAAACTATTTTTTTTCTGCTGTGAAAGAAAAATAATTGTACCTCGTTATTCTTATCTATCAAAAACTATTACAGGAGATCGCATTGTCAAAGATGGCTTTCACAAAGTTTGGGGTACACATAGTTTCTATCATACGGTTTTGCCACTCTCTCATAGACCTGGAGTCTAATTCCAAGGTATCTCCGTGTATCTGGTGCCTAACTTCTAAGACTGAGTCAGCGAATAGTTTGGAATTCCTACCTGGTGGGAGAAGCCAGGTACACCATAGGACATCTATTATGTAGGTACTCTATTGATCGTCCTGGCTGAGTCCAGCCTCTCAGTCCATGTGCCAGGCATAAGCAATCTCTGAGAACCATGTGGAATGTGACAGAAGCTCTTTCATCTGAACAAGTGTTCAGATGACAAAATGGAAGCCACTCAAGCTCTTTACAGCCAACAGGGCCAAACCTCAAGACCCCCTTGCACTGTAACATCAGTCGCTGAGAGAACAAATCAGAGGTGCTTAGAGGCTCCTGAGTGGAGAGAAACCATTGCAAGCTACTCAGTGAGCAACCTTCAACTATTCTAATTATGCAAATAAATAAAACAATAAAACCCAAAACAAACTGCAGAGCATTTCTGTGAGCTCTTCTGAGACTGGGGAGACACTGGAAGAGGAGCTTAACAGAGGTGAGAGGGTGGGGATTTAAAGTCCACCCCCCCCCCCCCCCCCCCCCGCCAGCTCTGCATGCACATCAAGCCTTTGTAGAGGCTTCTCATTAACGACTTAGGACATCAGAACACTGAACGGTACTTAGTTGGCTGGGCTGAGGCAATAGCTCAGTTGATGAAGTGCTCAGTAAGTGTAAGGACTGTGCTCAATCAGCAGAACCTGGGCAGAAAGCTGGACATGATAACTAGTAAGACTATTGCTAGAGACATGACCCACTTTGCAGAACAGACGCAAGGCAGTTGTGAGCTGGCGAGGAAATTCCCTGCCCAACAGCTAGCTTTCATACTGCTGAAATCTATGCAGGCTGCTGGGGGAGAAAAGACATTGATGGTCCTACCCAGCATTGGCCCATCCATGCTACAATACCAATGTACTAGACAAGATCACCTCCCCCTACCTTTGTAACTAGTGGCAAAATTACTTCTGGGGTAACCAATTGTTTTCTTGATTCAATCTGAGGGCCGTTCTATAAAAGGAAATTTATGTCTGGTTCTAAATATATGGTTAAAATCCATTGCCACTGAAGTCAGTAGCCCTAAGGGGAGAAATTCTTGATATTGTTTTGCTAAATGGATGTCGAACTGCCTTCTAAATATTCACGCTTCTGCCCATAGACTTGTGCTGCTCTCAACCTTGGTTGGAAAAGTTTCTTACTGCAGTGAATGGTGATTAATGTAGAGGCTCAGAACAAAGTGTTGAGAATGAGTGACTGAGCGTGTCCAGCCATAGATGAGATATCTTTATCAACCCTTCCCCCAGTGTTCAGGGAATTCGTGGAAGATGAGACGGAAAGAATATAGCATCCTGCCCACAGGCGGAGTGGATAGAGGTGGGGAGGGATTGTGAGGAGAGGAGGGAGGGGAAACTGAGGTCAGGATGCAATACAGGAGAGAAGAAAAAAAAGTGCATTTTCCAGCGGAGCATGGAGGCACATGCCTTTAAGTCCCCGCACTCAGGAGACAGAGGCAGGTGGATCTCTGTGAGTTTGAGGCCAGCTTGGTCTAGAGAGTAAGTTCCAGGACAGCCAGGGCTATGTAGGGAACCCGTCTCATAAAACAAAACAAGACAAACAAATTCCAGTGTTGAGGGAGGAGGTCTCTGCAGGCTCACTCCTAGCTGAGGTTTTGGCAGTTGATAGGTCCCTGGGGAGTGCGTGGCAGCTTTTTGGTGAGGGTGGAGGGCTGGTTACTAGGAGGAGCCCACGCACCAGTGGACAGCTCCACACCTGTGTAAATATGGGCAGCATTAATTGGACTCAGCGGGTTATAATTTTTTGATTAAAATAAAGCCATGAAGCCGGGAGGGAAATGTGTTGGCAGGGGCCCCGAAGGGAGGTGGAGGGAGGGAATCCTGGTGAATATGAAAAAGATACAAATGTGCAATTTTTTCAAAGAATAAACAGAAGGGGGAAAAAAAATCTAGGTTTGGCAGTAGAGGCTTGTACTCTTCCCACTGGGGATGCAGAGAAAGGTGGACCCCTTGGGTTTGCTGACCAGCCAGACCAGCATAGGACGCATGGCTACTGAGGAACAATATTCAAACATGCACACGCCCACTCGAGTTTGCACGTACACACGCACTTATTTTATAATTATTCACGTCTCACCTGGCACTCCAGGAAGTCATCCTTCCCAGACACTCCTATTCATACACTGATTATCACATCTTGCACTTCATATAACGTTATGTGTCGTGTGGTTTTGTAATTTATCTCTCCTTTGGATGACGAAGTCCAGGCTGTGGTGTGATGGAGGCGTGTCTCCTTCCTAGCCCCTTTATCTAACAGACACACACACGCAGTGCAGTTTGGCAAGTGAATGATGAGTGAAAGAACAAAAAAGGGAGAAATTGACAAATAAGAGAGTGAATGAAAAAAATGATTCTTACTCCAGGAAGATGGAGTGCTGGGTAAATAATTACTGATGTGATGGGGTCTTTGACTTAAGGATATATGTGCAGGGAAATCATAGATAAGATATGGTGAAATTGGGGGTCTAAGCTCTGTACGGTGTAGGGCCCATGCAACTTTCACACACACACACACACACACACACACACACACACACTCAGGACTAATTGGGTGTAGACTGACATGGGATTGGATCTTCAGTTTTACCACCTACTATCAGGATGCTGTAACCATGGAAACACACCTTGCAAACGCCTGTAGGGAATGGAACTGAGCGAGGGTCATAGGCCTCTGGGCTCTGATGTCCACCTTTGCATTTGCACTGTGGCCAGCATGCCTAGGGCTGCTCTGTCCACTAAGGGAGTGCATAGGGGCATTAGGGTAGGCCCTTGGCTGGGAGACACAGCTCTGGAACTTCCCAATGGCTTTGCTGAACCTCTCTTGTTCTGGGTAGGATTCTAGGAAACTTCCATCCACACTTTCTCATCTCTCTTTCATTCGGGGTCAGAATTTCCTCATGACCTGTTAATTTTCTCCCAGTGTTCTCTTTCTGTAATCCAGGGGCATTTCTCCAGACACAATCCTCGTGCCTTTAATTCTGCCGTGGTGCCCATTATTCAGGGGCTCTGAACTGCTCTTGGAGGAAGCTTAGACTATTTACTCATCTTTTAATCTCTTTTTCACCTGCAGTAATAGTACACAGTACATGGGAGTTGTACAAATGACTAAACGAGACAGAGCATGCAAAGCTCTTAACCCTGATCTTGATACTTATTTATTGATATGCCATCATCCTACCCTTTATAGCTTCTCTTTTCCTTTAGAATGGCCCTAATGATGGGGCAAAGTTGGATTTTCTTGGGCACAGCCAACCTATGGCATTTGGAAACAAATGAAGACTTAGTGTCACCAAATTGTGTGTTAATTACAGTCTCCTTCCCTCCTTCTTAACTGCTTCTTCATTTGGGGAAAACCTCACCTTCCAGAGCTCTCTAAAGGCTTTGCTGTGTTTAATAATGTGGGCTGAACGGGAAAAATAGCTTGGAGGAGGGATCTGATTAAACCGTGTGTCCTGGCTTTATTGCTTCCTTTCATGAGGTCAATGCCGAGCGTTTTACCTTATCATCCAATTTCCGTGCATTGAAGGCCAGTTCCACGTAGTCATCATTGCCCGATAATTCCTCAGCAATCACCTAAAGAGAAAACACACATCAGCTGCCCTGGGGGGCTGACCTCGCAGCCCAGGAGCCCATCAGCACATTTGGGTAATTTTGGTCTCCTAATGAACAAACACAGACATTGGGTGAGAAGTTTCTCCACATTCCTGATGCCTGTGTTGCACCATTCCCAGCCCTGGAAGGGAACTCCCTAGAATACACAATGGCAGGTGATGAACTTTCAAGTTCTGAAGTGGGACACAGGCTGGGGGTAGAACTATCAGGAGCATCAACCAAGAAAGGCTTCCTTGCTGGGCGTGGTGATGCATACTTTTAATCCCAGCATTTAGGAGGAAGGAGTAGCCAGATCTCTGGGAGTTCCAGGCTAGCCTAGTCTACATAACAAGGCCCAGGGCAACTTAGTAAGAAACTGTCTCAAAAAAAAAAAAAATTAAAGTATTTGCCTTTTCTTTAACAAATCACTAGACTCATTAACTATTGAGGAATTCATTCATTACTAGTGCCACAGAGGAACTGAATTTGGGCATTTATTTCATTTTAAATAGAGAATAAATTTGCTTAAATAACTACTGTCTATGGAACCAAGCAACAGAGCTTCAATCTGTTGCTCAATGAAGACTGTTAAGGCTAGACTCTTCTTGGGCAGCAAACCAAATCTTGAAACTTGAGTTTAAAATAAACAAAATAAGTACAAGTGTGTGTGTGTGTGTGTGTGTGTGTGTGTGTGTTTGTTTGTTAAAGAGAGAGATCTGAAAACCCCAGCCCATTCCATATTCTTACTGTGTTCAATAAAGTCAACTTTCTTCTCTTTCATCCTCCATCTTGTGATTTCTAGAGTGACTGCAGAAACTCTCATAAGTGAGAGACCTCATTGTGAAACCTACTTTCTCCTTTTCCCTAAGAGTGGAAGGATCCAAAATAGTTTTATCAAGAAAAAGAAAAAAAAAATGGAAGGGGGAAAACAAACTAGAGAAGCCATGGGTAGTTCTGTTGGTTCCCAGCAGGCAGAGTCCACCACCTTAGTGTCTCTTTCGGATCAGTGAGTGCACAGGGTGAGACACTTGTTGCCACCGCAGGGCTGGCTTACCGTGATGGAGGATTTCCCAGCTGTGTTCCCATGCTTCAGCAAGGACTTGGAAAGCTTTCTCTGGGATACAATCTGCAAAAGGAGACAAAAGGAAGATGCTAGGTATGTGACTACAGACCTACTTTCTGACAGTCTCCTCCGCAAAATGCTTCACCAACAACTCCATTTGAAATTATCCAAGTCCACTCACGAGTCCAGCCTTGTTCCTAGGCCCCTCTGCATACAAACTAGCCACCATTTTATCCTTCAGTGTGTGCTGGAAGAAAGGGGACTGAGATAATTCATTTGGGACGTGGTGTGACTGTCGCTGAGACGTTTGAATCAGATTTAGGACAGTGTATAACATGTACATCCAGAGAGCAGAAGCAAGGCTTCAGGATCATTTGAAATTAGCATCAAATCTTTGCAAAGGAGGTGCGGGGGGGGGGGGGGGGGGGGGGGAAGGAGGAGAGTGGGGGGGGGGGGCGGCGAGTATAAGTATATAACTTCTGTGTCTGTAACCTCCGGAGTTCTATTTTTAATATATTCATCAGGGAGCTGTAGGTCTCATCAGGAAGCCAATGCTCAGACAAGCCCACGGGAGTAATGGGGTGCTCTCCGTGACCCAGTGTCAGCGCATGCGTGCAAGGACAGCTACCGCATCATATTGGAAGTTATTCTTAGAAGAGCTTACTTGTCCCTCTGGCTGCCCCCACCCTTTTGTCTGTTGTGAAAGGCAAGCTTGGCGAAGCATTGTGGTGGGGATGTCTACATTAGCCAGGTCCAAAAGGGGAAAGAGAATCAAGTGGATGCCGTGCCTGTCCTTAGGGGAAACAACTTCACCCCCTTCCACAGGCAGCTTCTATCTTATGTAGTCTCCAATGATGCTAATTGGTGAGGTGTTATTGCGTGAACCCCTCCCTTAAGTACCGGGTGGCACAGTGATGGCTTCTAATCATTAGAGCACCTGAAGAGAGGAGAGATATCATCTGCCCGTGAACCACCATCTCTCCTGTTAATAAAGGGGACACACCTAAGGGAACTGTAAGTTAGCTCTGTGCAAAGCCTCACATGAAAAGGAGCTGATGGTTCCTTTTGACAGCCAAGGTCATGAGCCTGGGAGGACACTGACCCCTAAGCTGAACCCAGGGACAGCAGCTCCCTGACTGCATCCACCTCTGACAGACCTGAAAAAGCCACACCCTGATTCTGGAAACAAGAAATACTGAGATAATAAACGCTTGCTTTTGCAATGCTATCATGTCTGTAGGTAATTGTTTTCTTTTTTATTAATCAAAGAACAATGAGAGAGGGAGGCATTGCGAAAGACAGAGAGACAAACCCCCCCCCCCTGAAATTCTCATACTGTGCGATTTCCGTCTCTCTGCTAGGGTAGTGACATGGAGATCCATTTGGACCATAGTGCATTGCCTTCAATCTCTCGAGTGTGGGTACACACGTCCATATATGTGCTGTTGCACATGAGCCTGGCTGCATGTGTGTACGGAGGTCAGAGGACAATCTTGGCTGGCAGTTTTTAAGACAAGGTCTCTCCTAGGCCTGGTACATACCAGTTCAGCTAGTCTGGCTGGCCAGTGAGTCCTAGAGATCTGTCTAACTCTGATACCCCAGCCAGCACTAGGCTTACAAGAAACAAGCATGCCACCCACTGAGCCATTTCCCTGGCCCCATCTGTGATCATCACTCTTATCTAGACATACTAACATCTCATTTGCAGGATGTGAAGAGCCTGTTACGGTGTCAGCTCCTGCCTTCCGAGTGTTAGGAAGCGGGCATTTGGGGTACAAGTGGCCAACCAAGCAGGCCATGACAACCTGCCTTATAGTCTCTAGGCCTCCAACTCAGCATCAAAGAACTGGTAACAATTAAGGTTTCAAAGCTTTCATGGTAACAATGATAGACACGCAATGGGCTGTCACTGATGTTGCCATTCTTGGGCCTCTTGGGCAAAAATAGAAAGGATGGCCAGCTGTGGTGCTGATCTCCAGAGAAGCCTGCTCACTGTGAAACCCACTTGTCACACATGCTCTGTTGCTTTGTGCCAGGCTGGGGGAGGCCTCCGATCGTGCTGTAGAATGAGGAAGTCAGAGTGACAAGGACTCACAATGGCTGCAGCTGACATTGGAGGCCAACAAATAATAAGGTTTGCCTGGCATCGGGGTGAAAGGGGGTGTACCTGCCAGAACTCCTCTAATTTGATTCTTTTCCCCCTGTGGCAGGGTCACAGCTGCAGACCTTCGAGTACAACAAAACGGTGAGGAAATGGAAGCTGAAGCCCCACCCTGAGTTAGCTAGGTTGGAACATAGAGACATTTGCACCGCTAGAAATCTGGTTTGTACCCACCCCTGGGTCAAGAGGGAGGGCAGACTCCTCTAGTGAGAATGACAGCAGTGTCCAATGGCACAGGTCTCCATTTTCAGTTTAAAGCCCAACATTAACAGCATATGTTCCTTTTTTTTTTTTTTAACATAAAAACCCAGGATTTTATTTAAACAAATAGGAACAAAGCCAGGAAAATAAACATTTAAGCCAGTGTTGTAGCAAGCGTATAATCGGTTGTATTTCAAAAACAGTCATTTGGAGACTAGACACACATTTGTCATGAGGCTGTTTTTAGTGCAAATATTCTCAGAATTCTTTTTATAAGCTGTTTTGAAATTGGTACAGTAGCAAATATTTATTGAATATCTTCTATGTGTCAAACATTGGCTCATAGGCTACAAGGGTGGAGAGAAATCAGTTAAAATATATTCACATTTGTTTTATATTAGTTTTTTTTGAGATGGTGTGTGTGTGTGTGTGTGTGTGTGTAGCCCTGTATGTCTTAGAACTCACTCTGTAGACCAGGCTGGCCTCAGAGATCCGCCTGCCTCTGCCTCCCAAGTGCTGGGATTACAGGTGGACACTGCCACCACTGCCAGAATGTCAGGAAGTCTGCTACGAAACAGTCTCTCCTAGAAATGGCTGCACAAAGGAGACCAGGACAATGGCAGCATCAATGGACACATTAAACATGGAAGGGGGAAAATGTTTACAATATTTTTTAATCACTATTATTCTGACTAATCATCTCTAAAGCCTGTATTATAAAACTTGTAATTATTTCAAAGCAAGTGCGTGGTAAATGAGAAATGTCTTTGTGAAACACAACTGGAAGTCCCTAATTTTAATATGTCAACCTCGAGACATCTCAGGGCTTTAGTTGTGAGTCCTTGAGGGCAAAGCATGTGTGTTGTTTTGCATGTAAAGCACTACATACAGGTTCTGGGAGGACATGCATACGGAAGGAACAGAGGAAATAGTGCTCTCTCTCTCTCTCTCTCTGTGTGTGTGTGTGTGTGTGTATGTGTGTGTGTATGCAGTGGTTCCTCTAGACTAGCTGGCCGGTCTGGTTCAGGCACCCACGGACTAAAAGCTGGGCACAGCAACACAGGCCAGAAACCCCAGTGCTGGGGAGGCAGAGGACGGTGGGTGCTAGTGACTGAACTCAGGTCCTCAGGTCCTCATGTTTGTGCAGGAAGCACTTTACCATCTGAGCTATTGTTCCACCACTGGCTACTGTCATTTGTTTTTTCACCATCCTACCTTCTCATGCATTTGCTACTACAATTTCTAGGACCACATCTGCAGAAAACAAAACAAAACAAAACATCCTGACAATTTCCTGAAGCTGACACAGAACCTGCATGGAACCTCTCGGGCTTGTAGAGGTTCTACAAGCTCTACCTCTTCTTGTAGAGCTAGTCAATCTTCCTATTGTTACACTTGCCATCTCTATTCCTGAAGGCTTTGAGTGGTGCTCACACCTCCTGTCCACAGACAAAGGAAACAGGAAAAGGAAGGAATCACACCTCCTGTCCACAGACACAGGTAGCAGGATGTGGGAGGAGCTAACCTCTGGCCAGTGGCTCTCAACCAAGGATGGGTGGATTCTGTGCTTAAACACCCACCTCCTTTTCTGTGAACTGGACAGCGAGAACACGGACAGACAAATAACTTCAGTTCATAATGCGATCAGAGTTTACAGATGTACTTAAAGGGGGTTCTAAATTAAATTGTCCTGGTGGAGTTTCACTAAGGAGGAAAACTGTAGGCGTTAAGAGTGGTACAACTTGACTGCCCCATCTTTGGTCCTGGGAATTAAAGCAAAAGTCTTCACCCCTGAGTTAGATCCCTCTACCCCAATTTTACTTTTTATCTTGAGACAGGTTCTCAGAAAGTGGCCCAGGTTGTCCTTGAACTCACTCTGTGGCTCAGATAGGCTTGAACTTGAGAGTCTCTTGCCTCAGCCTCCTGAGTAGCTAGGATTAGAGGAGGGGTCCACTAGGCCAGCCAAGAAAGACACACTTCTGATGCATTTGAGGACATGCAAGGGAGAGGGTGGCAGTGTGTCTCTGCCTTACACAAACTAGGCACAGTCTTTAGTCTTTAACACAGTGGCTCTCTACCTGTGGGTCAAGACCCATTAGGGGTTGAACTACTCTTTCACAGGGGTCACCTAAAGCCATCTGCATATTAGATATTTACATTATGATCATAACAGTAGTAATATCACAGTTACAAAAAAGCAGTGAAAACAGTTTTATGGTTTTTGGGTCATCATAACATGAGGAACTGTATTAAAGGGTCCCTACCTCAGCAAGGTTGAGAACCACTGCTTTAACTAGAGCCCACCAAAAGACTTTCCTGGGAGAATGATTCAGAAGGATGGAGTGGGTGATGATACCAATGATGATCTATTGGTTTGGGCTTCCTGCCTTAAGCTTTCTTTTAAGTAGGATTCTAATTAGTTCACTGTAATTACAGGCTTTTACCCTTTCTCTGCCTTCATTAGTGAGAGCTGGAGTGAAGGGAAAGTTTCAGAGAGGGATAAGGATTTAAGGTTTAAATCCCTGATTATCCACCTTTGTCTCGTTGCTTATGTAAGGCCCCATTACTGCCACAAATGACTCAGTTTAGGGACAAGTCAGAAGCCACTTGCTCTCCCACCCCAGCCCTGCCTGCCACACCATAGGCAATCAGGGAAAGAAGAAAGGGTTGCTCACCTAGCACAGTACCCAGGCCTGAACAT